TATAAGGAAGCTCAAGAGCTTGTAATCGAAGCACTAGAACTCCGACGAGAGGTGCTTGGAGAGAAGCATCCGGATACTCTAGTTAGCATTTGCTTCGTGTCCAGAAGTGACGCGATGGGGCTACCCGGAGTAGCAAAGTAATTCATGGTACCTTGTCGGATTGTGTCTGTCGAACGGACTAACAAGGGTCAGGTGATGTGAGGAGAGCTAACTGAGATGAGACTGAAATTGTCTGCTTTAGATGAATGGCGAGGAGGGCGATATCCTCTATGTGAGGGAGGCATTTGAGGACTACCTGTGAACGAGCTATGTCGCCATGGCTGAGATGAGTATTGTTATACCTACGTACATACCTGGTCAATCGTGAGTGAGCATAAAAAAAAACCAAAAGAAACTTGAAAAAAAAAAACGCACATAACAGCCGGTATCCGCTGATCATCACCGCTCCAACTACTAAACAGCGTGCCTCGGGACTCTTTGCTGTCAGGATGCTATCAGCGTGAAGTGTGGAAACAGGCATCCAAAACAGACGCCCATGATCTCCGTATTTGGAGGTTATTAACACCGTAGCGACGATCAACCGGAGTCAACGGACCGTCATGTCATATGACCATCAATGGAGCAAATTTTCAGCTGCGGTGCCGAAAGAGCTGGACCGGGCTGATCTCAGGGCGGAACATAGAAAACGAGAAGCTCGGTACGATGTTTCTCGTGGACACTGTTAGTGGCGAAGAGATGTTAGTCTAGTACATGTGCGGAAGCTAATCGAAAGTCAGAAACGTGTGACGGTAAGAGTGCAGTTTGGTACATTGCTCTGGGATCATGGCTTGTATAAAGGGTTCTTGTGCGGTTCAAAGTCATACATCGACCTGTCGCTCCGCGCCGGACCATACGGGCAGCCGAAAGAGATGCGGCCGCTACCGGAGCCGTCCACGACCAAGGGCTACGTTCAAGCATGCGCATCTTGTCTGCCTATCGCCACTGGCACATCTTTTTCGATCCATTTCATCCGCCCCTGGGGATCGTACGCCATCTTCCACACCGCGAGCACTTCATCCTTCTTCCATTCGGAATAGCCATTCGAAAACATCCAGCTAGCAACTCGAGGCACGAGTAAACCGCAGATTGCAGCGAGAAGAGTGATACTACCGACCAGGATGACCAATCCAATGAGGCTGAAGTTCTGCACCTGACTCGTTGAGTGGACTCGCTGCTCACCGCACATGTCTTCCAAAGCTCTGTCTACACTTGTGTCGCCGGTCAGCCGTGAAGCCGGGACAAGTTGAAGAGCATCAGAGTCATTGCCTTCCAAGGGCTGATCTGGAAACTTGGCGACATTGGCTTGAAGCCTGGCGAGGCCCGTCTCAAACCACATCTGGACTTCCTTCTGCCAATGAGTGGCATCTAGACCAGGAGAGATGAGCATCGGGCTGGCCACAATGGACTCGGCAATGAGACCTGGAGACCGATCGCGTGTTAACAAAGCAGGACAATGGAGAGGAGGACGAGCTTCCTCGAGGGGAACTTGCCGTTTGCACCCAATGACCTCACACTGCCTTCCATTGTGTAAAGCTGTGAGTCGTGCTGGATCCTCACAATAGTGGCAGCCTGGTTATTGTTCACCGTTCTCAGAAGCTCGCGGACCCCACCGCCCAAGTGGCCATCCAGACCTGAACAGGCACCGCTAATGGGATCGCAAAATTCATGTTGGTCGGCGCATGCGACGACGCGCAGAGTATAATCGCTCAAATACATGACCTGCTCCGTCCCAAGCTCCAAACTCCGGATCGGGTCCTTTATAGACCCGTTGGCCTGGAAGACGGGGTCGTCGACGCTCTGCGCATAGGTTAAGAGATTTGCAGCGATCAGAATAGCGCTCACGTCGGCGTCTGTGCGGTTCAAGGACGGTATCGGGACCCAAGATATGTTGGCGGCATCGCTGAAGCCTCGATATGCCGACGCGGTGCTGGCAACAATATCAGCACCAGGAAGCGAACAAAGCTATGCAGATGGATGTACTTGACCTCGTAGCCCATGCGCTTGAGTGGGCTGAGCTGATATGAGAAAGTGAAATTTTGTTTATCACGCGGCCCAAGATCAACGTCGAGGAGAGGGGAATCCTCTCCGATCTGGAAATCCTCTCGCTCGCCTTGTACTTGCCTCACCATGAGGGGACTCAGTTTCAGGGGCGAACATGTCGTTTTCCAACGATATTGGATCCGATCTTTTCTCCGGGCGTTGATGCCGAGGGAAACGTGTGAGTCGATATTCCCCGTATCAAAGCTTATGGCCCCCGTTGGCCCGAGTAGGCACATTTCGGGATCGAACGGACACAGCGCTCTCGCGTCTGTATCAAAACTGAGGCGTCTAGGTGTTAAATGCGACTTTTTAGATTCCGACAGAGAGCCACTGTAGAAATCAGTGGCGTATCGCCGCGCATCATTCGTATCGCGGAGCTCCTTGGCGCCCCATGCAGCCGTCTCCGTCAGAGACGCTGAGCTGTCGAATACACGTAGCAAGCCGCATGTACCACGCCTGGCTAGTACAACGACGTCTTCAGTTGCCGAGGTCGTTACCAGGGAAGGCAATGCCACACTTGCCAAAGCGATGAGCGCGGCGCATGTCCCCGCGAAGGAGAGGAGGAAAACCAGTTGAAATGGGCGCCTGCTTAGGAAAGGAGATTTACTGCTTCTCCAGGCCCAAAATGCTGAGCCAAGACCGAAGAGCAGGTCACTGGGGCGGCTGCTGTTGCGAAGGATGAAGCGGCGCTGGTTGAGCTCGGGAGTGGTGTTTTCAGTCCCCCTGATGTATGGGACGAGGTAGAAGAAGAAGACGACGCTGCTCCAGATGATAGGGAGGAGAACGACAAGGAGGAGAGAGAGCGCCGCGATGAGATAGTTGGATTGAGTAATCGTGAGGGTCAGGACATAGCGGGATATGGTAGATGCGCTGTGGTCCTCCCACAGACCGAGACGAACTTCGGGCGCGGCCATTGGAGAAGCGCGGTACGGATACCAAGCAGTGTATTCTCGGGAGCTCAAGTTGGCACTCGTATGAGGATGAGAGATCAGATCGACGGGAAACATCGGTCCCAAATACTGAGCAGCGGGCGAATCTGTTATATAATCACCGAAGTCTACTCCGTAATGCTCCCTGCGCTGAGACCGCGCGCTTTCCAATGAACAAACTTCCGAACACATATGCGGATAGCCAATCCAACTCGCCCAATTCTAGAGCGGCTGATGCTGTATCAGCTCGGCGATTGTCTCGCAACAGCTCAGTCCGGCTTGTCAGCCTCACTAATAGAGCCCAAGGACTCTAGCGTGTAGTCGTCTTATCCATGCCATGGGTTATCGACTCCGGGCTGACCTGGTAGCTGGGCCACCGCCAGGTTCCGTGTCTGTCGGCCCTCCATACGGCATGTTCAGCTGCTGATTAGGCCTAGACATACATGCGACTAACGCGGGCGGACCAGGTGGCTGGTAGCCCGCAGTGGAAAGAAATCAGACTTATTAATTGATGAGACCCCGGCTTTCACCTCCTTGCATGGTGGCGTCAGCCTTGCGGGTCTGCTAATAAGCAACTAGGTGCCTGGAGCTAAGTTAGCTGGACACAAATGTTCAGGGGCGGACTGTTGTCGCGAGGGTGGATTATCTCCCCTTAAACAACAGACGAAACACATGTGTTAAAAGGCCAAAACGGCTCGAGAAGCTACATGATTACTTACCATAAAAAATCAGCTTATATATACTTGTGTCACAGCTGGGCAAGGCTGGGGGCCTACCCTGCACCGCAGTCACGTGGATACGCGCCTTGGCCTGCATTCAGTCGCGACCCCCGACCGTCTTCTGATTGTAGCTCTTCGAGCTACGTCTTATACATAGAGCATGCCCGACCTGATGAGTGCCTATCCGTAGCAATAGATCCAATCAGCCTGACCGAGTGTTCCCCGTCCTACCCGCCGACCGACCGCCCTTGACATTACGTAGCTCCTACCCATAGGACGCTGAACACGATGACCTCCCGCCCGACGCCTCCAGAGTCACCCCAGGACACGCGCGCCTTCGAAGACGCCGTATCCAGGAACCCTTCTGAATGGTTTCACTTCTGCCAACAGGCATACGCCTACATGGAGTCACAAGACACCCAGATTGCGAACCTTTCCGATCATATAACGACACTAGACGAGAGAACAGCTAGCCTCGAAACTAAGATTATTGAGGAGAGTGCGGCCAACCGGAACCTTCTTGCTCAGATGAAGGATAAGGATATACAGATTATCGAAGCAACCGTGACCGCCCGACTCGCTCAGCAAGCTAGCTTACCGACCGTGAGAGTAATCACTCCGGAGGCTTCAGGAACATCCCCGGCTGAAGAGACCACAGCTCCTCACTTGGGAACGACTCCGCCGCCTGCTGCCGGATCTACCACCTCCTCCCGACTCTCTGAGAAGCTTCCCGACCCTGATAAGTTTGAAGGATCCCGCTCCGATCTCCGCCGTTTCCTACACCAAGTCCACGCAGAAATGACAGCCAACGCCGACCGACTCCCTACCACTACGAGCCGGTTAACGTACGTGGCCGGTAGGCTCACCGGGAAGGCATACGCCTTGATACTCCCCCGCACCGTCTTTGGAATCCCACAGTTTAGCGACTACCCCGAACTCCTGACTTATCTCGAAAACGCGTTCGGCGACCCTGACCGCGTCCAGAACGCCCAGAACCGCCTACACCAGCTCCGCCAGAGGCACCAAGACTTTAGCACGTATTTCTCGGAGTTCCAACGCCTCGCCTTAGAGGGAGAAATGGCTGATAGTAACTTGACACCACTGCTGTTCCAAGGAATATCCCGCGAACTACAGGATATGCTACTTCACAACCCACCCCCTAGCCGGGAGTTCCACCAGTACGCCAACCACCTACAGACTCTAGACAACCGATACCGCCAACACCAGCAACAAATCCAGCGTAGCCAACCCCCGAGACCGACTCTACACCAAAACCATAGACAAACCTCCCCGCGCAGGGGACGTAGCCCTCCGAGCCACGGCCCGCCACGCCACACGATGCCCGCCGTCGCACCCGTCAACGACCCCATGGACCTGAGCAACCAACGCCGCCCCTGGGGGCCAAACCGGAGGGAGAAAAACCTCTGCTTCCGCTGTGGCTCCGATAGCCACCATATTCGAGACTGCCGGAAGCCAGATACCAGACGCACCCAAGCCCGATTTGCCGCTTTAAATAACGAAGACCTGTCCCCTGCTAGATCCCCTGACTCTCCCGCACTAGATAGTCGGAAATCAACACCTTCCCCAGACCGCACGGAAAACGGAGTGAGCCTGCCCTAAGTCACCGGCAGGTCCTAGCAGAACGTGCAACTATTGTCCCTGAGAAAACCGCTTGGAGAACGCTTCAAATCTCCTCGGCCGCTATACATGGCGTGCCGATCGAGGAGGAATACAACCAACGATCGAATCTAATGATTCTGCCTGCTGAACTACTTTTACCCGACAACACTACTTTACCCGCCCCCGCAATGCTCGATAGCGGAGCTGAGGGGAAAGCCTTTATCGACAGAAGCTGGGCCGAGAATCATAACCTGAGAATGCACCGACTTACACACCCGATTACGATCGAGGTGTTCGATGGCCGCCCCGCAGAGAGCGGCCAGATCACACACTACGTCCGCAGCCGGATGCGGATAAACGACCACGAGCAGAAGAATATGATATTATACGTAACCCAGCTTGGAAGCTACCCGATCGTGCTTGGGATGCCTTGGTTAAAACAACACGACCCTCTCGTTAGCTTTGGAAGCCATAC